TTTTTTTTTGCTCAAATTTCTACAAAGTATAAATATGAAAAAAAACATGAATATAAACTATATATATATATATATTAGTAATAAATCTAATTTTAAAAAATTAATATCACTATTAATAAAAATAGTAATAATAATTTTAAATACTATTATTGATATCATTGTTATTAAAAACAGTAATGAAAAAGAGCTTTTTACATTTGGATGGTTTAATTAATTAAATTGAAATAAGTTCAATTTAATTTAATGACTTTTTAAGACCAAAATGAAACATGTGCAATGAAATCAAAATATTCTGGTTAAAATTTAGTTAAAAAAATCAGGACGGATCAAAATTTAAAATGAAATGAAAAATGTTTTATTTTTTGAATTGGTATAAAATATTTTGTCCATTACAAATAAAATGGAATGGAATTGAAAAACCTGATTGAAAGTTGAAATCCATGACCTATACCTGATTATTAGGGCAAGTACCAAGCTCTTATAAATAAGAGAGTGAGAGTGAGGCAATTATTGCAAAACCCAGGATGAAAATCTGGACAAAGCAATTATTAATAGAGAATAGTAATAAATATTCAAATAAAAACTTTAAAAATAAAAAAAATCTATATAAACAACACTTGTACATAAATTAGTTGATCTTAAAAATTAAAAAACTTCATCTAACAATACTTTCATGGTTGAGCTTCAAAAAAAAACAGGATTATAAAGTTACGTGTCATTGAAACTTGAAAGGGTGTAGCTAGTGACTAATCAATTCCTTGTCTATTGTGAAGACTCCAAATATATCATCAATTTATGAATTCTTGCAATTATACCACCTATTATCATTCTAGTTTAGCAATATTTGCTTAAAAGTCTTCTTTAACAAAATACACGAAATAAACTTCTAGTTTAGTGACTTAATGAATGAAAAATAAATTTAAAGAGATTAATATTTAAATTGATGAAGAGTTTGTAAGAATTTTAAAATATAAAACCCATCATTTTTTTTCTATTAAAAAAATAGAATTCAAAGATTATTATGATCATTGCTATTTTAATTTTATCTTCTATTATGAAAACATAAACTATTATCTTATTTTTTAAGTAACATAAAATTAGCACACAAGCCAAACTCGGAATACTTAGACATTATCAAATTTAAAGATTTTATATCAGATTCTAAACAATTATCAATAATATAAAATATTAATGATGCAATAAATCATCATACCTCTCTGTATAGAATAATTATTCATATTAAGGTAATGATTTTTTTAAGTTTATAGATGGATATAAGGTTTTTTAAGGGACTTATCATATTTATTATATCATTAATAATTTATAAAAAGATATTTTATTCTCATTAATATCATAAAAGGTAGAGAACTTTACAGCTTTGTACGTAAACCCCCGTAAAAAAATTTTATTTTCTTAAGTTAAGGCTCAAAATTCCTTTAAAAATGTATTAAATTACGTGGTGTTATAGTTAATATCAAAGTTATTGGATAAGATTCAATTGAATATGATATTATAAATTATGAAAGTTAAAATATTATATAGTATTAGATATATGTCAAAATAAGAATGATTGACAAACGAAATAAAAAATGTTTCTAGATATACATGAAGAAAATAATGAGTTGATATAATTGAGTACAAATGCTCCGGGTACAGTTTGAGTATTAAATGTGAATGAATGGAAAGAAGTTAAAGTTTTTATAGGATGGAGAGTTCTTTGAGATGCATTGTTTAATAAAATTATTTTTGGTGTATTTTTTTTGTACATACCATAAATTCAGAAGGACACAAAAAAATAGTAATAAAATAAGTGAATAGTGAAAAATTATGATTTTAGAAGATGCAAGGGTGTATTTTTTATTGTGTCTATGATGATAGGTAAAACAATACTATAATATTTGGAATAAATAAAAGCTATGCATAACTTTAAGGATGATACACCTCATGTGATGTGATTAATGAGGGGTTAGATGGATTTATGATTATATAACTTTAAGGAACCAAGGGTGGTTTTCATGGTTTGAAACCCTAAAAATGAGAATTAAGGTGAAGGCACAAAAGAGGGAGATGAGGTGGATTGTCATGTTAAGTAAGTTTATGGACAAACAAAGGCTACGTGGGATAGCATAATGATGTGCGAGTAAAGGCTGTAATAACATTATGATAGTGTAAGAACGGTGGTTGGATTATGATAATATAATTATATGTAGTTTTTTTTTTTTTAGATTAATGTGGGTGTCCGAGCCAGCTTACGCGCACCACGACTAATCCCACGGGCCCTGAAGTTAACGACCATGTAAGCCTCCAGTGGCCATCATATGAGCAACCAAGGACTCGAACCTGAGACCACAGAGGGAGCAAACCTCTTGATCCCAAGTTCTTAATGCTAGTGTAAGTGGATGCTTATGGATACCCAAACCGGGGTACACACAAAAAGCATTGTTGAAAGAAAATAGTAAGGATAAGAAAGCATAGAACATGTTAAATTTGATTTCAAGCTTAAATTGAAACTAAATTTTGAGGATAAATTTCTCAAGGAGGGAAGAATGTAAACTCCTGTAAAAATAATTTTTTATTTTTTTAAGTTAAGGCTCAAAATTTCTTTAAGAAAGTATTAAATTACAAGGTGCTATATTGTATTTTTATAAAAACAACAAGGTATAGATGATCCTAATAGGATGAACGTGCTACACGGCAGGTTTATTTTTTATTTTTATAAAAAAAATTATTTTCATAAAACAACTTTAAAAATTTATTATATAAAAAATATTTTTTTTAATAGTAATAATATTTTTTTTAAATTTATTAATTATTTTATTAATAATATTAATTATAATAAAAATAATAATATTTATAACATAAATACTTCTATCAATAATTTTAAGAATGATTATAATACAAATAATAATATTTTTATTTATAAACACTTTTAATTATAAAAGAAATAATAATATTTATAATACGTTTTATTATATTAAAAAAATTGATACGGGTTAATCTTGAACACGTACAAACCCAATATAAAATTAGATATGAACATGTCCAAGACCAACATAAATCCTTCGTGTTGCTGTGTCCACTACTGTTGGGCAATTATACCTACTATCATTAGCTCTGGCGGATTAGGCATACCCAATAAACTTGGGTTTTGATAGAAAAACCCAGCAATTGGGTAAGCATCTGGGGTGACCGCTGTTGAGCAATACCCAGCAGTAATAGTTCCTGTTGGTAGGGAGGGCTCAATGCTAGCTTGCCAAACCCAATCTAAGCATAATTTA